GAGAAAAGGTTCCCTGAGTTTGGAAGAATTGTAGAAAACAAAAGACAAATTCTAACTACTTGCTTTAGAGGAACTGGCAAGTGGCATACTTAGTATCATTACTGTGACTGAGTTAATCATACAATCCAAAGAGATGTTTATAGGTTGCTAAAAAAGTCTTATAGTAATTATAAAAATATATATAGCTTTCCAGTTGATTTGGCACAGGTTTGAAATGAAAGGGAAATCATTTTTAAAAGTTTATTTTGTGAGGTAAATAAATAAAGTTGGAAAACAGGTCAATTTCATGCATGCAAGGTTTTATAGTAGGAAAAAAATGCATTGCACCTGTCCTGACCCTTTACATTTGAGGTTATTTGTTTTCAAACTTGACCCCAAGCACCAGTTTCAGACAACACTATAATTAATTTGTAGATAAAGCATAAGGATATTTTATTTTGATTTCTAGGATTGTGGTGAAGTAGTAACTAAAATTACTAACCTATTGTACATAGCAGTTAATTAAAGAAAAGCATTAACTCTAGGAGAACACCACCACTGCTGTTGTCTTGTATCAGTATAAAAAGGCAGTAATTTTTTTGACAGCCACTGATTGGAAAGTTGCTTGCAGCCTTCCAGAAGCAAGGGGGTACATGCTGTGGATCAATAACCAGCAAATTTCCCATTAAAAAGAATACCTGAGCAATGTTCCAAATAGCCACTGGCATCTTAATTTTCCAAGGAAACCTCAAACACTGGTATGCCGAGGACAAGTCATTTTCGGACAATTTTTCCAGACTACTTGTTAACAGTTATTGCTGTCCCAAAAGGTTGACAGCCTACATGATTGATATTTCATTTACTTGTCATCACTGTTTGAGTAATAGCGACACTATATTTCTGGGGTTTTAAGGGATATAGTCTCCTGAAAGACATCTACTTTAGTATGTATTCTGGAGAGTACATCGCATATGTTTTTGCTGTATGTATATAAGTTTTTACATACATAAAAAGAGAGGATCAGTTTCCTCTATATTGTGAAAGCCCTTGGAGAGCAGGGTGCACTTATATCCATCCATATCTGTCATAAATTCACCTTCACTTTGTTTTTGGGACAAAGAGCCTTAGACTTGTTAACTTTTTTATTTCCAAGATGATGTAGAATTTAAGATGTAGAAATAAAGAATTACATTATTTCTAAGGGAAACAAGAAAACTTGATCTTATAATAATTTAATGTACATAACAGCAATAAGAGGACAAAAACCTATATCTTCTCAAAAGAAACTTAAGAATGTCAGCACATAATGATCAAGGAAGAATTTCCTGAAAATGTAGTAGTTAAATAACATGTTTTTAATATAAAAATAGCCCCTCAAAATACCAAATCAGAAGTTTTCACTGTTGATATTTTGCCACCAAGAACATCACTTTGTGGTTTGTCAAGTGTTATAGAAGTGAGGGCACAGAAGCGGTTTCCAAGTTAGATGGGCATAAGCTCATCGACTCTCATATTAAGGAAAATGGGAATCAGACTATAATATAACCTACTGAATGAATCTGTTTTTGAAGGAGCGTGAAAGCTTTTTTACTTGAACCTTTATTTTTCTGTACCCAGAATTTTAAAGTGAAATTTGATCTATACTAAAGTGTTTATAAGATTAAAGGATAAAAGGTATGTTTGTATGAAACTGGGCTACCTTTTAATCAAATTGTCCTATCATCTTTGGATCAGTCATGTCTTGTTTGCTTGTTCTACAGTCTCTATTACTTAGTTTTTCATGATCTGTGTATTTTATACCCAAATACGAATAATGTTTGATTAACTAACTGGCAAAGAGGTCCAAGCTAAATGTGAGGCATCTTCATTTTGCTTTGCAAAATCCAGGGGAAAAGAATAAGAAAGCATTCCACTAAAATGCCTTGTGTTATTTTTAATACACTTCATTTTCAAAATACTTCTACAGATCAGATACTAATCTGAAGTCTTAATCAACAGTTTTACTTTCAAAGATAAATGACAGTGTGGAGGATAACACTATATTGGGTTTTGAATCCTGAATATTCACTATAGTCATTTTAATGTGCAAATGGGGACAAAGTATTCCCGAGGCTTATATATATACACCAGCAATTTACAAAAGTACTATGAATTAAGCAACCCATAAGTGCCTGTTCCAGTATTCATACATTACTGACTAATCTCTTTCTATAATCTCTTTGCAGTATTATTCCACAGTAATGGAACAGCAAGTAAATGGACAGTTAATAGAGCCTCTGCAGATATTTCCGAGAGGTAATGTTGAACAAATTCTAATCAACAATGATTATTTCAGTAAACTGTTTCATCAACAGTTATGTTTTCCAAAGGTTTAAATGCACATAACATGTTGTTTAGCTCTTAATTTGAAAAAAAAAAACAAACAACAAAACCCACAAAAGAAGTATTCATTATTGTGGGGATTGCAGGCTATATTATAGTTATGGCAGATAAAATATCTAATTTACTAGAGTAAATTAAACTAACTAGATTGTTTTTTTGTTTTTGAAGTACATATTTACATTCGCTTAAAGAATACTTTGGGGTCCGAATGGTTTCTAAACCAAGGCAGATGAATTACTTTAATTTGGGGTATTTATAAATTGTGACTCATGATGATGGTCCAGGCTGCTGTTGTGGAGAAAGCTTTCAGCTGAACAGATGCCAGGGTTTACCGAGGACTTTAGGAGAGAATTTTTGGTAGAGTGTTTGGAGCTGGGTTTTTTACGGTAGCTTTTTCTAAATAAGGGAAAGTTCTCATAAATGGAAATTGTTAAATCTGTAAAAAATATAAGCTGATTAAGGTAAGTCTTGGTGAATCACTTGGTCAAATAGTTTGCTTTTTTCCCTTTTAGGTTTCTCATTACTAGCTTATATCAGATATGATTGTTCACGTGTATATAAACGTTCCCTTAAAATTTGAGTAATGGAGAAAAAGAGCAGTTTAATTATATAAACCATTAAGTCTTTTACCCATTATACATTGTCCCACTTGGAATCCATGTTTTCTAACTGATGGAACAGATATGGAAATTCTCTAAGTAACTCTTCTAGAAATAACTTAATTGAAATAATTAAAACTTAAACTTACCTTCGTTAACTGATACTGTACAAATAATCATGGTATGAGTTTTCCAATTAAACATTCTAGACTTTCATTACCTATAACACTCTGAAGTTTGAATGGCTCAATTAACTAATAGACTCTTATTTGCACTGATAAAGTCTCCAAAGGCAGGTCACTCGGCCAGCCCACAGAGCTGGGTTCAAGAGCAGGGCTGCTCTTCTGGCAATAATGTAGGAGGTGGGATTGGGAGTACTTAGTAAATTATTAATAATAGCTTATTAAAGAGCTAAGTAAATAAAATTGGGCCATTGACAGTGTGTCTGAAACAAGAATTATAATTAATCTAATTCTATTGTACTTGAGGACCAAAAACTAAAAGAAAAGAACTTGCCATTTTTGTATATTAGTCCAATAATAAGGATGCAGATTGCTTTTTAATATTTTTAGTGACTGGAAAACTTCATCAAGTTTCAACATTGTTTCTGTACAAGGAATATTTTTTTTTTGTGAGCAGTCCTGTCAGTGTTACTCTGTATACCATTGTACCCCCTCCCATGATAATAACAACCATTTTCAGACATCTGCTCTGTTCCGATACTAATATTGCTGTTATTATTTATAATTCTCCCAACAGTTTTGCCTATTAGGTATTATTGCTTTCATTGTATAAGTAAGAATATTGAAGTCCAGGGAGGTTTAGTAATTTTAAAATCACACAGCTTATAAGTGGTTAATGTACCCTTTGAATAGGAATTTTGTTTCTAATATAATTTGCTGAAAGTAGAAGGGCAGTTTTCCTCTCCCGGGGACGGTGACTTCAGGCATGCACAATGGTTCAGCGTTTGACATACATCGAGGCTGTCCTACAATGCAGCCTCTAACAAAGCTAGACTGCCTCAAACTCCTAATAGTAGAATTGTTTACCTTTATACCAAGAAAGTTGGGAAAGCCCCCAAATCTGCATGTGGCATGTGCCCAGGACAACTGCGTGGAGTTTGTGCTGTGAGACCTAAAATTCTAATGAGGTTGTCTAAAACGGTGAAACATGTCAGCAGAGCCTGTGGTGGATCCATGTGTGCTAAATGTGTCTGTGACAGGATCAGGCATGCTTTCCTCACGGAGGAGCAGAAAAGTGCTGTGAAAGTACTGAAAGCACAGCACAGAGTCAGAAAGCTATTTTTTTAAAGAAGCTTTTTTGAATAATAAAAGTAATTAGAAGGCTAAAAAAAGAAAAGAAAGCAGAGGCATATAAGTTAAAATATTAGTGGTGTGCATGGGGGAAGTTTATAGGGGTTTGTAGGACAGTGGAGAAGAGTGAGGAATATTCTGAACACAGAACCGATTAGGCTCTAATAAATTATTAAATAAAGTCCTTCCGTGCCAAATTTAAATTTTTAAAAATATGAGACTTAGTTACTCTACCCCCATGGGTTTGTGTAGGTTGTTTTTGCATGCTATTGTACAACTCTTTTTAGCTTTTTGTAGTCTTGCTTTTTGCTTGCTTATGTACATCACATATAGATAAGTGAGATTAAACAAACTTATACAATTAGTATATAGACATATTGGATATATTAACTGCGTCTGTGTAGTTGGTTAGAGACCCTCAGACCTTAGATTCTGTGGTCAGGCCCCACGTTAAGAATTTCTGGACTGAATAAGTGAGAAAGACTGGAGATAAAGTTTCTGTTCTAGCACCAGATGTTCTCTTCATTCCAAGCAGGACAATTGCTTTGGATGGTAACTCCCAGCTCATGGCTACAAGTCCTCTCTGTTGTTAGAAAAATATGTTAAATGTTAATAAGTATGAAAATTTACTAGCTTTATAGTAACTTCTGACTCTACAACTTAGGAAATATGGGGTTACTAGGTTTTTGTTTTGTTTTTTAATTTAACTCCATTGTTGAAAGTATTACATATGTCCCTTTTACTAGTATTCCCATATTGCCCCCTCCACCCTACCCCAACCCTCACCCAGGCCTACAACACTATTGTCTGTGTTCATGGGTTATCGGATTTTCAGTCATAAAGGTTTGAAACTGAGGAATGAGGCAGATGTTAAGAGATAAGAGTTGATGCCTGTCTCTATTTGCTTAGTTAGCCACTTATTAAATAAAGCTTATGAATGCACTAGTACTTTGGTGGAAATACGCTGAAATGTTGTCTTAGGAAGTATTAATGATCCCTGAAGGACCAAGCGTCAAATCTATGTGACTGTTGTTTTGTTCAAAATTTTAATTTCCATTTTCTGGAAAGAAGATTTGGAGTCTTACTTTTAATGTATTTTGGAAAAACAAATAAAAATTCTTTATTAAGGTTTAGATATATTTTCTAGGAAAATAACAATAAATTTGAATATACTTGAAGTATATAAATTTAAAGCTACTGATGTGCTTTGTAATTATTACTCATGTTATTATTATTAAACAGCTGTATTTCTTGTTGTCAGAAAAAGGAAAAATACATGTACATCTGAGAGAGGAGAAAAAAAATCAAATTCATCCTTCCCCAAACAATCTATCAAAATTGACAGCCCCTTAACATAATATGTAGGGCACTGTAGTTTTCAGATGAAAGCAGCCTATAGCATGGGCAGGAAGCTTTTCTATTTTTAACAATTGATGAAGAAGCATTTGCTGAATTGGAAAAATACTAACCTCTAACTCAGTATGGTGTCAGGAAATTAATATTATTTTTCTTGGCACAGCTTCATCTTTAGACTTAAATATTAGCATATGTCAAGATTTGCAAGAAATATAGTAAAATTAGTGATATCTCTGTATTTTAATAAATTTGATTGCTTATTGCTGTGCAGACTTGAACATTCCATCTTTGAATCTCTAACAATCATTTTGGCTTTAAAAGACCCTTCTACTCCTCTGTCTTCCGTCTACCCCTCCCCCCACCCCACCCCTCGAAAAACCTAGCTATTTTCAAAGTAGTTTAAGTGATAACAGGCATACAATGTAGTAGAGTGAGGAAAGATTGCAGAAATTTGAATTATGAAAGGAATATAATCATTTTAGCTCAGTTAACTTGATTTTTATATGTTTTAAGCAGAAATTGGAATTTATATAAGGTGGTGTCAGAAAGCTCTTTGCATTTATAAATGCTCACTCCTGCAAGTTAAAAACCTTGGTTCATAATTCCCACTTTGGGTCTTGGGAGCCACTTTTCAATCATTTCTCTCTGCTAATTTTGGTGTCACCCTCATTTCTTTTTAAACGATTCATTTTGAGCAAATTTGTAAATGGCCCTGATGTGTTCTACAATTTAGTCAATTACTGTTTCAGCCTGCAAGCCTCCTGGGGAACGGAACATACATGGCCTGAAGGTACGAATTTCAATAATTGTTTCAGTAAAGTTAGATGGATTTGTAATGCTGTGTTCCACTTATTGAAATGTCAAATAAAACTGCACTTTCTCAAGCTCTGACAAGCAATCTTTTTTTTTTTCTTTTTTAAAATGGGAGGTGGAGGGGGATTCATCTGTAGTATTTGCTTAATACGTGTATATATTTGGATACAGGGGTTTTATTGCTATATATTTTATTATTTGGAATTGTTTTGTTGGTCTGTTTCTTCAGAATGAGCCTGGGTACTGGTTTCCACAAAGATTTATTTGAGTGAAAATATAGACTTCATTTCAGTGATTAATAAAGCACATAAGCATAGTGCCCACCCCCTCTTCTTTTGACATATTTATGCTAGAAACATATATCTATTTAATGTCTCTTCATTGTTCTGTACATTTCAAATTCTGGATTTCTGTTTTAAGGCTTTACATTTGAAGGAAAATCTAGCTTTTAGGTTCAAACATTTTATAATTCATTACTTGGACTTCATTTTTTGTATGAATATGGAACATTCTACAGTGTTCTGCTTAGTTTTAGAGCTGGAGGAATATGACAGCTTGAGGTTCACCACTAACCCCTGATATATTCTTAATGTACTTTTTTGAACATATGGGTCTTGAGTTTTTGTATATGAAACAGAAAAAAATGATAAGTGGAATTTTTGCTTTAGAATTAAATTCAATTCTAGACAATAAATAGAAAAAAAATTCCTATTTGTCTCTTCTTTTTCTCAGCACTGTTTAAGTATTTGAATAGTGACAGTAATAGAGTATTATGTAATATACAGTTTGTATAGTTCTGTAACCTATATACTAAATAGACTCCAACCATGGGTCTGTCTAGCATCAAACTAATTAACCTTCATAGTGAAATGAGAAATTTCTGGCAAATTATAGGTTAATTAGAACTGTATCCTCAGAACGTAAAACTGATCAAGATTCTTTCTTTACTTGTAGGTGAATACCCGGGCTGGACCCTCTCAACACAACAGCCCAGCAGTCTCAGATGCACTTCCAAGCAATAGGTGAGAGCAAGCGAGTAAAGCATGTCCATAAGCATGATTATCTACAAAGTTGGGAGTGGGATAAAGGTGCATGGGATATCACCTCTTTTCTATAAAACCAAAAAAATCTGTATTTTTTTTTTTGTCGTATAGAAGAAATATGACCAGTTTAACAGGTTACCTTAGCTAGCCACCTATCGACCAAAG